TTATTTACTGTTTTAAAAAGAGAAGGTATCTCTCCGTATTTCCTTGGTCTCTTAAGTCTTAAAACTCACTTTACAGTTGTTCATCTTGCCTTGTTATACTCCTTTGGTTTTCTGAAATGTTCATCAAGTCATTTTAAATGTTCATCTGTTGTGAACACAGTTCCCTTTTCTTATAAACTGCATATGGACCTAGAATTTAAAATGTGTATCTCCCCTGAATGTAGCAGATACTGAATAAAGTTTTATTGTAGGGACAGGCAGTGATCATAAGGTGGTCATTAGTAAGTAGTATAAAGTTGGTGTTATTCGGCTCTGAACATTTTTATTGAATACTTGCATTTTGGCAGTGAAAAAGAGATGATAAACTGAACCACTCATACATTATTCCTTTAGTCACCATTTGGTGATGTATAGAATCCTGTTCTGCTAGCTTTTCCATAAGGTTTTTCACTCATAAATTTAAACCCTGGCTGTGATAACTGAGTCTTTTGGGCAGTTACTCAATATCTTGGCACTTCCCTTTGCTTGTCTATAAATTGAAGATTATTTCTATATTATAGTGATGTTAAGAATGGTTGTACATGTCTATTGTTCATTGTGTGCTTCAACCTTAATGTGATGTGTCTTCATAATCCACACATCTGTGTGTTATGTTATTCTCAGTATACAGTTACATTCATATGCAAGAGCAGGGCTTGACAAACATTTTCTGTAAATGGTCAGGTAATGCATTCTGCATCCTGGCCATCCATCCAGCTTGCAGGTGGACTGGGTCCCATCAAACACTATTTACAAAGGGTAGTGATGGGCTATGGTTTTCCAAGTAGTTACTTGAGGATACTCTGTATTTTCAATGAGTGGGTTTTTAAAATATGTTCAGCTTTATTCTTCTATATAGGTGATACAGTTATAAGCATATCTGTACATGATTGGTTTCTTTCAAATAATTTATTTGGGAAACAGTCCTCAAATGGGACTGTAGGATGGACAAGTACCTCTGTAAAATGCCTTACATACAACTCAAAGGCTGAAGTATTTAGAGATGGTCAAGGCTAAGAAGAATTTGGTCACTTGATGTATAGGAATACTATCTGTAAAAGTCTTCCCTTGTTTGATGTTTTACCATGTGTTCCCTAGGCTGATTGTATCCGAGTTTGTTTATTACGGTACACAAGAAACAGAGTAGGTAGGTGATAATAAAGGAATACTGTGCCTGGTAAGATACTGTCTTAACTTTTCTTGTTCCTGAACAAAATACCCAACACCCAACCTTGAAGGAGGAGAGGTTTATTTAGCTCAGTTGTAGATATTCCAGTTCATAATCAGCTGGCTGTAAAGCAGGGTGCCTTATATTTTATCCAGGCTACTTAGAGTGGGCAGCACTGACACCCTTGATCCTAGTGTCCTTCGTTTTAGCATTGAACCACGAATCAATACCAGCATCACACACTCTAGATCCAGCCACCTCTGAAAAAGCCCACCTATGACTCCATGAGGTTTTAGGGGGTACATCTAGACACAAGCCATAGCAGATAAAATAGACCAAGAACACGTCTGTTTTTAATGCTACTGCCACCATCAACTACCATTCATCCCCAGAAGAAAGTGATTATTTCACTTTCTAAGGATAATTACGAGTGCTTACAGTTTCAAAAGAACAGGTTGGAAGAAATGAGTTATGTTCTATATAATGCTTTATATATAAATCCTTGGTTTGTATATAAACAAAATTTAACAGTACATTTTCTTTTTTGGTACCGGGGATTGAACTCGGGTCTTTGCGCTTGCGAGGCAGGCAGCGGAACTACTGAGCTGAATCCCTAGCCCAACAGTACATTTTCTTACCCAAATTTGGAAATCATTGAGTGTCTAAAAATTTTGCGTATTGGCTTAACGTGCATTGTAGAATCGTTGAATAATTTTCTGATGGGAGGGTGGGTCCTCCCATTTTTCAGCCATATTACATTGTTCTAAGTTTAACACAAGCATTTTTCATTATTAAATAACTTTCCTTTTCTCCTGTTGGTGGTGCTGAGGCTTGAACCCAAGGCCTTATGAATACTGCTAGGCAAACTCTACCTCAGGGCTACATCCCCAGCAAAATAACATTTCTTATTAGACTTAGGAAAGATTCTTTTATTTTTAAAAGAAATTTTTTGTTTGTTGCCATTTTATTGTTGGTTTGTGAGACTGTAACTCGGTTAATATACTGTACTGGGCCACACATCAAGTTCAGTATTGTGGCTCTTGACAGTGACGTTTTTGCATTTTAAAAACATGGCACGGTAACTTAATTGGTAGCTTTTATGACACTATTTTCAGCCAGTTCCTCCTTAGGGTAACTCTGTGTGTGTTTGGGGGAGAGAACGAGAGAATGAATGTGTTCAGAACAGAGACTGAGCCCAGGCCCCTCACACGTAGTAGGCAAGCACTCTACCACCCCATTTGAGCTACACTGCCAGGCATTTTTTTTTTTTTTTTTTTTTTTTTTTTTTTTGGTACCGGGGATTGAACTCGTCAGGCCACCGAACTGCTGAGCTAAGTCCCCGGCACCAGGCATTTAATTTTGAAAGAAGGTCTCACTAAGTTGTTGGTGCTGGTCTACATTTTGAGATGCCCCTGCCGTAGCCTCCCATCAGCTGGGATTATAGGCAAGTGCGACCACACCCAGGTTGATAGTTGTTTTCTTTTAACTCAGAGTGCGTTGTTCAAAAGTTCAAAATATTTTTGTAAAGTGTGTTCTGTTTGCTTTTGAGTCCATAAATTATATTTATGGCTCTTAGAATTCCATTGAAAATTATTTTTACATTTCAAAATTCCTAACCCTAACCCCCATTCTAGTAATATCTACTTTATAGACAAGCTTTGGATACAAACAAGCTTACTTAGATATACTCTGCATCCTAGAGCAATTGCCTAATGTGTGAGGCTCTGTGTTTGATCCCCAGCACCTCCTTCCCCCAAAGCTGGATAAAATTATGTGAGAAGATTCTTTATGCAACTGTGGTACTCCATTGTGTTTGAATACCACATTTTCTTTATCCATTCATTTGTTGATGGACATTTAGGCTGTTTCACAGTTTCGGCTATTATGAAAATGGATATGCATGCATCACTGTAATATGATGTCTATAACACTTGAGAAGACACTTAGTAGGGGAATGGCTGGGTCAAATGGGATTTCTGGTTTTAGTTTTCTGAGGGATCTCCAACTGATTTTGCATGGTGATTGTATTAGCAGCAAAGAATGCCGCCACCCCCACCTCTAGCCTCTCCAGCATTCATTCATTCATTCGTGTATTTATTGGGGGGTGTACTGGGGATCAAACTTGGGTCCTTGTGCTTGCGAGGCAGGCAGTAGAACCACTGAGCTAAATCCCTGGCCTCTTCTCCAGCATTTATTATTTGATTTCTTGAATATGACCATTTTTTCTGGGATGAGATGGACTGTCAGTGTTTTAATTTGCTTTTTTTTTTTTTCTTTTTTTTTTTAATTTTTTTGGTAATGGGGATGGAACTCTGAACCTTGTGCTTGCGAGGCAGGCAGCTGAACCATTGAGCTAAGTCCCTGGCACTAAATATTAGTTCTTTAATGAGCAGTTGGCAAGTTTCTTTTACATTCTGTAGGTAGTCTCTTCACTCTCGGTTTTCTTTGATGTGCAAAAGCTTTTCAACTTGTGATCTCGTTCATTCTTGGTATTATTTCTTGTGTTACTGGGGTTCTGTTCAGAAAGTCTTTGCCTATACCTATGTCTTCAAGAATTTTACCTGTATTATCTTACAGCAGGTTAAGTGTTTGTTGCACTATTTAGATCTTTGATCTATTTTCTTTTTAGTTTAGTGTATAGTGAGAGATAGGGTCTAGATTCAGTCTATGACATATGGATAGCCAGTTTTCCCACCACCATTTGTTAAAGAGCTCATCTTTCCACTCTGCCATTAAGAAGAATAAACTTCAGTTACTTGTAGGAAAATGGATGCACCTTGAGAACAAAATGTTAAGTGAAAGAAATCAGGCACAAGTTTAAATATTGCATAGTTTGTCTTACATGAGAACCCCAATATATAAAGTGTAAAATAAATGGTAGAGAGTAGGAAATAGCGCATTGCATTTGTGGCCTGTGGAAAGGAAATTAAAAGACAATGGGAGGGCAGGGAAAGAAGATTAATATAAACGGGGGTTGTGGAATGCTATGTACATATATCAGGTCCCTAGGGAGGGATGTGATTATCATGTATTACAAACGTATGTTTAAGGGGAAATACACGTGCGCGTGCGCGCACGCACACTCACCCATACACACACACACACACACACACACACACACACACACTGTATATTAATGAGAAGGGGACCAAGAGGTGCAGGGAAGGGGAGGGGTTAAAAGAGGCAATGAAAAATGTATGTACATAGACCATCTCTCCATGATGAATATAATCATACCAATAAAAAATATAAACATGTACCAATAAAAATAATGTTTTAAAATGAAGAGGCTGGGCATGGTGGTGCAGACCTATAATTCCATCACTTGGAAGCCTAAAGCAGGATGATATCTGTGAGTTTGAGGGCAGCCCAGACTACACAGTTCAAGCCCAGGCTCAATTACATACATAGTGATACTTTGTCTCAAACAAACAAACAATAAAAGTAAATAAAAAATAGAATTAAAAAAACTATATAGGAGAATTGACAATACAGCTGTTAAATGGTACTCTCAGAACCACTTCAGAAACAAACTGTCAAAATGTTTCAGTTTTCTTTGCATTTGTGAATTTAGTAAAATATTAACAAGCCACTAGTATTTATTATGTTCTTTTTAAAATAATTTTATGTTGGTTTATTCTGCTGAAACATTTAGATACTCATGAAAGAACTTGAAATTCACTGTTTCTGATGGCAGGCTCATAGAGGCTTGGAGCACACTAGGAAGGATGCATTTTCTCAAACTAGTGAAGTGACAAAACAACTAATGTCTGTTTTTGTTTTATTTATACAGCAGATATAATTTCTACAGTAGAATTTAATCATTCTGGAGAATTACTAGCAACAGGAGATAAAGGTGGTAGAGTTGTCATCTTTCAGCAGGAGCAGGAGGTAAGTGTTTTAAGATTTAATATCTCGTTTTCAGTTTCATCTTGACACTGGAGCTTGTGTGGACCTGGAGCTTATAAGAGGATGTTGGAAGTTTTAAAAAGAAGCCTGTAAATTGAGACTATTCGGGCTGGGGATTTAGCTCAGTGGCACTGTGCCTTCCTGGCAAGTGCAAAGTCCTGAGTTTGATCCCTGGTACAAAGAAGAAAAAAAAAAAAGAATATTCAGCCTATAGATCTCTCTGCTTAGTGTTGTATATGTATACACAGTGCATGTGTAGTGATTTAAAGCACATTTTAATGTAAAAAGATGTAGTTAAGAGAAGAGGCTGGAAAATGATGAAACTGCCCAAAAGATTTAAACCAATTTTGAATCTTTGGCCCTTACTTACACGTTTTCTCTTAAAACTCCATAAAGCAAAGTTGTTTACCTCTTCTCAGTTTTTAGCTTGCTTTATGTGAGGATGGGAAACTAGTTTAAAGGAAAAGCAGCTAGCTCAGTAATTTCAATGTCAGTTTATGTTAATACTATTGCTGTGATTTAAAATAAAAGTGTGAATGACAGTTGCATGTATATGCACGTAAACATAATGTGTAAGTACAGTATTGCTGGCTTTTAAAGTGAGTGGGTTGGGTATTGTTTCCTTTCCTCTTTGAAGAAAGGAATTTCCTTGGCGAATCATGTTTAAAGTGCACTTTGTTTTATTTTTCTTAGGACATAGGCACATTTCTAATCTGATTGAAAGGATTTCTCTCTAAAATTTTGTGCTAAACAAAACCACCCCACTGGTTTTTCCCTGACTCTTATTTCCCTGTTTGTAGATCAGAATTTAACCTTTAAAGTCATTTGTTTCAAAACACTGGCACCCTGTCTATAACATACTGAAGAAGAATTTAAAATAATGTGGATAAAATACAGGGTTTACGAATAAATGTCATAACAGAGTAAGGTTTTAAAGGATTGTGAAATTCCTTAAATAAGCAAAGAATCTAGTAATAATACTACTACTTTGCACTTCTATAGCGCCTTTGACCTGAGGATCTCAAAGTGCTTTACAAACACTAATGAATTAATCCTCACAACACCCCAGTGAGGTAGGTAATTTAATTTTAAAAGAAATGATTAATGGTGTCTGATTAGAAGATGCACAAACACTAAGTATATGTCCTTTCATTTATTTTTATTAAATTATTTGGTTGGAAAAACAAAAGTAAGACTCAAGCTTTGCTTGACAAGGAATGGTCTGGTGGGAAGAGGGGGTAAATTAGGTTTCTGGTCTTGACAGATGACATGGGACCTTAAACATCATTAGGTCCCTTGGTGGTATGTATGAGAAAGCTAAGATCTAGAGCATCCACTTCTTCTGACTAGTTATCTCTGTTTCTTGCTACCTTTCATGTTAGATCAACAACATATGAATGATGACTTGGACTACTCAGGAGTTTAGAGCAGGCTTTCCCATCAACACTCTGCTCTTGGATGTGGTTTTGGGGAGGGGGTGGTGAGGCATTTAATTAAAAGTTAGCTGCAGCCTACACTTGGCTTTTGTTAAGAAGAAAAGTTTTGAGAAAATGCTCTTAAAAACTAATTTTGCTTACTGTGTTTAATCTTGGGGGATTAATACGCAGCCTTTGCATCTGATGGTCTCAGAAACATTCTTCCATGGGGTCATGGAGTCATTGTTATTTTAAATTTTGTCACTTAAAAGCTATCTTGGAAATACTTTGCTTGAGAATGAAGTCATTTTCACCTTCTGTAGGTGGTGGCTTGTTTAAAGTCAAATGAGATGTGAAAAAATGGCTGGAAATTTCAGAAAAATGGAGCAAATATCTGCTTGGAGATGAGTTCAGAAGGTATATTCAATATTCAAAGTAATAGTTCGGTGTTTCCTAAGACTGTCAGGAACATTTAGAATTAATTTAAAATTAAAGACCTAACATAGTTAATTCTCACATGTTTTATTTGTGGTAGATAGGCCAAGAAATTTGAGCAGTCATTTCCCTATGATTTTTTTTTCCCTGAAATCCCACTGAAGATTTAAAGTGCTAATCATTTCACATTAAACAAAGACTCTGAAGAAGAAAAGAGCAGACTGACTTTGGGAAGGGCAACTGGTAGAGAAAAATGGCACTTCCTTTTCCTGAATCTGTCATTCTCCTCAGGCTTATTTAAGAATTCAAGACAGATGGGCGGCCTTGTAGCTCATTGGTTAAAAGTACTAGCATTTATGAGGCTCGGGGTTCAATCCCAGCACCACACAGAAAAGTCTGTTGTTATTTTGAACCCAGGTTAGTAGCATTTGTTTCAACAATTATTGTAAATGTATTTTTAAGTGATATATTAAATAGTAGCAATAACAGCAGTGATTGCCTTTTCCTTCTGAAATTAGATCTTGTTAGTATTAATTTGATGTATTTTTCCTAATTAATTTTTTGCATTTTAAAGCCATGTCTTATATGAGAATTTCTAATCTGTACCTTTAGGATGTCTTTGGTTAAAATGTGCATACTTTACACTTTGCCTCTAACCGCACTGTGAGTGAGATTTTATGAAGTCACAGCCGTACATCTGTTAAGAGAGTGTTAGCTGATCTTTTCTTAATTTTTATATATATCCCTCAGAAATTTATGTAACATAGTTATATTGCTTAGTCTAACAGCAAAGCTCTGGGATTAAGATTTGGGCTTCTGATTTCTAGTAGAGCTTTATATGTATATTCCAGTGTACACTGCTGCCTATCCAGTAAATATTTGTTAGTCTCTTGATGATGGTGATGAATTTGTTTGCAGAACAATGGCATTTGCTGTATTGTAGCTTTGTCTTTTTACCCAGAGGCAAGGTTCTTACTAAACTGGACCTTATTGGAGACCAGAATATCTCCACCACTTTTTATTGTCCTTCTTTCAAAAGAAAAGATCATACAGTAGCAGCAGAGAATTTAACTCCCTGACTTAACGTACATTCGAGTGGCTAATTTTCATAGGTGTACTATCTAAGACTGTCGGCTTAGGAACAAATCCAACTTAAACAGTTCTAGAATGGAACTAGTTCATAAGTCAGGGACTTTATTAGCAAATTTGAGCAGCTGTTAAAATAGATGGTAAAAAAGAATTGGGACCATTTTCATCTCCCAAATTAAGGATTATTTTAATGTTACATCATTGCCTTTTCTCTTTTACTTTCCTTTTTAGTTTTATTTTAGGATTCCCTATTTGTAATGTTCATACAGAGATTTCTTTGACTGAAATACTGAATAGTTTCTTTGGTGTGAAAAACTATAGTAGTACACAGGATCCTAATGAGATAATTAATAATGTGAAATAGGAAGTAAAGGGCTAAAGGTGTAGGCAAAGTGGGAAGGGTGGGGGAAAGGTAATGAGGGAGAGGAAAAAAATATGAGAAACTGAAAAAATGGAAATAAAGTGTTTGTAAATGGGGAGGGGAGGAGGGGGTGAAGGGAGGGCAGGGACAAGGGGAAAAAATGAGAATCAAGACCTATTATGTAAAGGTACAGAATCCCAATGATGAATGTAATTGTATTGTATACCTAGATTGTACCAATAAACTCAATAAAAAGAAAAAAAAATAGATGGTAGATTCTTGAGTTTTTAGAGATACTTGTTTCCCTAGGTGTTCAGATTAAGTGACAAGTAGTTGTTGAAGTAGCTCGTTTCCTACTGGCCCTGGGTTGCTCAAACCTGCAGTTTTCTGGGAGAGTTTCTGGTCGTCATGGTAAGTTATATGGAAGGGAGTTGGTTTTAAGGGACAGTTAATGAGAAAGGGGAACAGTATCTTTATAAATTCTTTGTGAAGCATATGAGGCCTTTGATTCCTGTTTTCTAAGACCGCTGGTAACATTCTTGAACTTCTGATTTTCTTGCTTTTTTGTTTTGATGGTGGTATTTCCTCAACTGCCTAATAGGATATAGAAGAAACCTTTGGAAACATACTTATAAAAGATAAGTAATATTAATATGATGGTATTCTCTTTTTAACTTATTTGGAAGGGTTAGAATGGGGCACAGAATCATTGACAATCTGACGTCTAAAGGAACAAAATCTGTTTTGGGTGATGTGGCAGCATCCTTTTAACGAATTGCTTATCTGTGCCAGTCAGAACAACAAATGTAGAACTGTCAGTGAAGAATGGTTGGAGGCATCTGTGCTTCTTGGCTAAGGGGAAGAGAATAATGGACAGAGAGCTTTGTGTATACAGTTGTTTTTGTAATCCTTGCAGTTGAACCCATTGCCTGTGCACAGAATTCTGTCCCCCAATCCTCACCCCCTTTACCTTTTGTGGTGTTGTCTTGTGAGACAGGTTCTGGATAGGTTGCCCAGCCTGTCCTACTGTACCTGGTTTGGATGGAGTGTCTTGATATTTATGGTTTCATGTGAAAAAAACATATGCATTTATTTTGTATGTGGGAACTTGGTAAGTTCACAAATGGGCTGGATGCTCATTTTTCAGGAATATGATACAAAGAATGCATGAGTAGGGCCAGGGATTTAGATTTAGTTCAGTGGTTCCAGGGCCTGCCTCGCAAATGCAAGGACCCTAGTTTGATTCCCGGTACCAAAAAGAAAAAAAAAAATGTGAGAAATGAAAGAAAACACCTAAAACCCTTACTCTCTCTTCCAAATAAACAGTTTCTATCTATAAAATAAGATATCTCTTCTAGCTACTGAGCTTTTACTATATTATAGCTTTTACTATATTATTTTTTGGTTACCCATGACTCTAAAGTCATGCTTTTCAGAATGTAAAATATTAGAATCATCTGGAACATGTATTTAAAATCCACATTGCTGGGCTGGGGATTTAGCTCAGTGGTTCGGTGGCCTGCCTTGCAAGCACAAGGACCCAAGTTCAATCCCTGGAACTAAAATTCACATTGCTACGATTGACCAAGATTACAAAGCAGAATTTTGGGTGGTCATGTGACTTCACCAATCACTTCTGTGTATATACACCCTTTTGGATCTATACCTGATTTTATTATTATTATTTATTTTATTTTTTGGTACCGGGGATCAAACTCTGGTCCTTGCACTTGCAAGGCAGGCAATGGAACCAATGAGCTAGATCCCCGACCCTATACCTGATTTTTAAAAGAAAACTTTAAAAATTGTGTTCCAGTGCCAGGATAATGTCTTGAAATACATCTTTTAAGTTTATATTGTCCAAAATACTTTGAACTATCTTTCCCAGGATAATCATGAAGTATATGAAAGTACACAAATTCCTAAGGGTGCATTTCCACGAATGTTCACAAAACCCATCTGATTATCCACTGGACCAAGAAATAAGCTATTATTGGCATTCCAGAAGGCTTCTGTCATCTGCATCCTCCAAGCCCTCTCCTCACAGCTATGGGTTTGTTTTTAACTTAATATGTGTATGATGCATTCATAGAATTTGAGAGCTAACCAGGTATGGTGCTCACGCCTGTAATCCGACCACTTGGGAAACAAAGGCAGGAGGGTACCACAGGTTCGAGGCCAGCCTGGGCTACATAGTTCAAGGCCAGTCTGAACTACATAGTAAGACCTTATCTTTAAAAAAAAAAAACAAAAAACAAGCTAAAATGTATAGGTTTTTACAGGGATTCTTAACCTTTTGTATTCCATTTTTTAAGATAGCCTGAGAAGTTATCAGAATATTTTATTATAAAATAAAATACAGAAGATTGTAAAAGGAAGCTGTGTTGACATAGGCCTAATCAGAGCATGAGGGTTGAGTGATCCGTGTGCCCCAGGTGCATAACTCCAGTAATGTAGCCTCCTTTTACAAGTAAACAAAGTGGTGTCTGGACACTGTGAGGAGCTGAGCCTCAAAGCACAACCCACTCACATGACTTGCTGGCTCACAGCAGTGCCCATCTGACCTGGAACAGTGACAGTTTATGTGTCAGGTCCTGTGCTAAGGTCTCTAAACCTTACAAAGGTGTGTGTACTTAATATTCATGTCATGATTTATTACAAATCTGTAAATAGAAATCCAGACTTAGATAAGTGATGTTTCCAAGACCATATGGGTAGTCAAGTGAGTAAAAGCTAATTCTCTGTAAATTAAGACATATATCCATAACTCTGGATACTGATTACGGAGTATGAGGAAAATGAGCCTTATTAAAAATCACACAGGGGCTGGGGATTTAGCTCAGTGGTTCGCTGCCTGCCTTGCAATAACAACAAACCCCACCTTTGAAAGGCCTAACTTTTGGATCTAGCAAGTATAGAATTTAAAGGAATTCTATCATGTCTAAAAGCTATTTGTGACATTCATAAGCTTAGTAATCAACAATGGTACCTTTATATAATACCCTAAATGAGCTAGGATACTAAAAAGATTAGTAAGTAGTTGATAAGTATATGCCACAAAGACATTTGGTTAACAAAAGGTTGAACCAGAAGGAATAGTTGGGTGAGTTCCTAAACAAAAAACAGGACTAGAACATGGGCTTTTTCAACTCTCAGTCCAAACTTTTCCCTTCTCTAATGCTGACTACAGAAAAGAGGCCATTCATTAAATATTACTGTCTACAGACTGAGAGTTCCTTATTTGAAATGTTTGGGGACCAAAAGTGTTCTGGACTTCATATTTGGGGATATACACATACTGAAGTATCTTGGGATTAGGACTCAAGTCTACCTTTGATGTAGCTCAGTGGTGCCATGCCTTCTTGAGCTACATCAAAGGTATTTTTGACCTGTTGAAAAAAATTATTTTTCTCATTTACCTGCTAGGCAGAAGTTTTAATTAACCATATTTCTTTGTTTGTTTGTCTGTTTGTTTTTTGAGACAGGGTCTCATTATGTAGTTGAGACTGACCTAGACCTCATTATGTAGCCCAGGCTGGTCTCGAACTCACAGTGATCCTCCTGCCTCAGCCTCCTGCATGCTGGGATTGCAGGCATGCGCCGCCATGCCCGGCTGTTAACCATATTTCTTATATTGATACCCTGCCCCAAAATTTACCACAGCAGAAAACCGCACTATGAAATCAAAAATGTCAACTAATTTTAGAAGTTACCCACTTTTTATTCTCTGTGCTTTTTTTTTTTAAAAAAACCCTTTCATTGTATTCTTATCATTAGTAATTTTCCCCTTAATTAAAAACTTACCACGCTTATTGTACATTATTTAGGAATATGGATAGACAAGGAGAGAAGAAAGCACCTGTAACTCTTAACTAAATAAAAACAAGATCAAAGGCCTTACTTTTAAAGGTGAGATTACAGGTTTAGGGCTGTATGAGTTTTTTCATGCCTCTCCATTCTTCTTGTTAGTGAGACTACTCTGTTACTGAGACCTTATATAGTAGCCTTTCATTAATGTAATCTAGCTATGTAATTATCATTCCCACCCCTGCTAAATAGCACTCTTGAGAAATGTTTTTTGTAGTTGAGTTTTTAAAGCATGTTATTTGCTTAGAACCTGGGTCGAAGGATGCAAATGTTGTTAGGTTTTTTTATTTTATTACCAAATGCCTTCTGGGAAATTTGACCAGTTTATGCTTACACTAGCATTTTTGAAAACTGCCCTGTCCCCTTTAGTTACTATTGATGTTTCCAAGAATAAAATAAAAATCCAAGTCATTCCATCAGAGGAATAAAGATCTTTGTGTGAGAAAGAACATGTCTTTTCAGGCTTTTCCCCCTTCCACACACTTGGAATTGGGATTTTGTACATTTATCACTTTGGGACTTTTAGTTTTACCTAAAGTCCATGTTTTCTCAAGTTGAAATAATGGCTTCTTGAGTAGGTAAAGAGTCTGTTGTTGGATCCATTGAATAGAATAGAGCGCATGTGCAATTTGAGATCATACTGTTTTTACAAGGTTCAATGAACACATAGCTTGTGAGGTTGGCAGAGGCTATCAGGAAGCATTGCACTACATTGAAACGGTTGAGAAACATCCATCTGCAGTACGAATAACTGTCTATTTCATAACTTACTTGACCTGATGGGCATTTGTATTGTGTTTACATCTTTGCACACATTCTTTTTTGCTAATTTTGTTTTTTTGGGGGAGGGTTTGGTACTGGGGATCAAACTCCTTAGGTCCTTGCACTTATTTGCAAGGCAGTTTGGTACCAAGGATCAAATTCGGGTCCTTGCTCTTGGAAGGCAGGCACCACTGAGCTAAATCCCTGGCTCCTGTGTGTATGGGGGGGGTACTGGGGATCAAACTCAGGACCTTGTGTTTCCGAAGCAGGCAGCAGAACCACTGAGCTAAATCCCTGGCCTTTTTTTGTTTGTTTTTTATTTGGGTTATACTGTGGCATGGAATTATCACCAAATTTTTGAAGACTTTCAGTTATTGAGGAATTGATTCAGAAAAGCTGTAAATTTATATTTCTGCAAGTAGCATCTGACTTTGCCCTTTTCTTCATCGTTAAAATAGTGGTCATTACTCCGCTTAACTTTTTGTCAGTTTAAAGGGGTAAAACATTGCCTAGTCTTGATTACTAAGGAAAATTGTTATATTTATTGACCATTTTAATTGGCTTCATTTATGACCTTTGTCATATTTCAAGAGACTATATTCTCTAAAAGTTTTTAAAGATATTATGTACATAAAATATATTGGCCTGTTTTCTTCCTTGTATACTTTTTTTTTTACTTTCCAGTATTTTCCTTATCAGATATCAGTCTTTCTGTGCTGTTTTCGTTCATTTTTATATTTCTGTTTTCTTTTGTATTTTGAGACAAGGTCTCACTATATAGACCAGGCAGTCTTTGAATTTGTGATCCTCTTGTCTGGCCAACCCCCAGAGGTGTATTACAGGCATAGATAGACCACCACACCTCCTTTTGTGTGCTTTATAAATTTAACTATTGTCTCTGGAATTTACTTTTGTATAAAAAAAATGAAGTTCTTCTTTCCAAATGATTGGTCATTTCAGTAATTGAATTATACAGCACCACAAAAAGTAAAAGGGAAAGAAGAGAAACTTGGTTATGACACAAAATTCTTTAATTTGTGGATTTTGTTTGCATCTGTGCTTTTAGTGAATGTAAAATATGTCTTGGGTCTTCTTATGAGTCCTACTTTTTTTAAACTAAGAACTGTTTTTGAAGTCCATTTTACTATCTGTGCATTTCATTTTCCCAAAAATAAGGCTGTATTTACATAAATTTTTGCTCAAAGAGAAGCAGTAGAGCTTATTTTCAGGGGAAGTCTTAATTTATGTACAAAATCTGCGTGTTTTCAAATACAACGATGTCATCTTCTCCTGGACAACAAGTGATAGGTATCATAACTCCCAAGCTCCAAGTTCTGGCCTGAATTTCTTGTGCCTCACATTTCCTATGGAGCCACTGGGCCCAGTCACTCATGTCCAGCAATAGAGCTCTCCCTGCATGAGTACTTCTTGTTCAAATAGACTGCTTGAAGTGCATTGGCAATACTGTTGGCAATGATTGTATCCCATGACTTCTTCACCCAAGTCATGACCTCTTGCGGGCTGAGGTTTCACAAAGTGTCCATTAAATCGAGTGCTGATTAAAGACTTAGGTGACAGCATTGGCAACAAGAATGTTGGTCCACACAAAAGCGACAAAAAATTGCAGGCAAATTCAGAAAACATTTTTCACACGTGTACACTAAGTACAACACTATATATTGAATTATGAAGATTCATATTAGATACAACCACATCCACCTGTTATCAAGTCCACAGGTTCTTGGTGCGTTGTGTCTGTGCTCCAGTTGGTCATTCAGCAGTAAGTTTTGGGTTCGTTTTGTTTACATAAGTGTTTACCTCTCATCCAAAGGTGCCTGCTTGGGTATTTACAAATACTCAGTTATAATTTATGTTATCATTTAAGTACTAATGTCAATAATATTTATTCATATTTAATTGCATATTTGTGTTTTATAATTTAGTATGTCCATCACGTATTGCAACGGACATACTAATTATGTCTGCTTGGCTGAGGACCTGGGGCTTATTTTGAATGTAGGACTCAATGAACATCCTGAAAAATCATGCCAGCTCTTACTTTCCGGGAAACACGGCACCCATTTCTTCTAAGTTCTGCCTCATTCTGTGCTTACTCCCGCTACCCTTACCACATCTGCATCATCTTTATTCATTCTTTTGGCTGTTACTGTTCATTAAGAAATGTATTAAATGTCTGTTACAAGGGGGATGTAAGTGTTGAGGATAAATCACATCTAAATTTATTATAGAAAATTTCATGTACACGTGCATAGAGTATGGTGAAGGAAATAAACTCATAGTGATTCTGTAGGCAACTAAGACAAAGAGGGAGGCTAAAGGGCTGTTAAGAGAAAACACACGTTTGAAGCATTCAAGAATATACCCTAATTCTCTGTAGTGTGGTTTTTAAACCAAAGCCAGAAAGATGTCTTTGGTACATTCTCATTTGAGGACAAGAGAGGATGTTTCTTTTCCTTCTCCTGTGCTCACTCTACTTGGTCTGCACAGAGAATTGTGCCTTGCCCACATTGTCATTACAGTCTCCACCCTCTTGCCAAGTTGTAGGAAAGGGCCCACCACCGGCTGAGGGTGCCCTCCACAGCGGCTCACTGTTGGGTATTGCTGATGTGAGTCTGTTTTACATTATTGTTGCTGTCATCCTTGCCTTTACTCCATCCTACAGGTGTCTTAAAATTTAATGTTTCAGGAGAGGAGAAGGAAATGCTTGTTGCATCTTTTTAGCCACAATTTCTTCCTCGTATGAGGAATGTTTTCCTGTTGTAAAGAGACAGTGCTTCTTGTAGTCCAATGCAAGCAATTTAATCATATAATCATGTGTAGAACTATAGTGTCATATATGACAGTATTAAATAAAACTCAAAGTTTAAAACAGCAGCCATTAAAAATTGAATTGCTGTTTAGTATATTTTCTTGCCATAATACCGAACCTTGTGAGACTGGGTGAATAGTTTTAGGTGGAATGTGTTCTCTAAAGTGATATGAGTATACATATTTAATTGATTAGGTCATTTACTTTGGTGTGAATCTGGTAACAAGACTAAGGCTGTGAATTTACCTCCTTGCATAACACCAAGGCTATTATGTTCCATGATATGCTCGGCTTTCTTAACATCAGCAAAATCACTAATGATACTTTTATCAGAGGTTCAAATGTTCCTTTATCTGTGGATGAACAATCCAGATCATCAAGCAGCTGAGAAAGAAGCAACCTAAAAATGTACCTCTAAGAATTTGATGAGGTTTTCTTTTGCTGCAGAGAACAGTAAATAATAGGCTGTTCTTACTATCAAGTAATCCTAAACATATTTCACTTGGAAACTCATTTTTACTTAAAGTAGTTGTCTGTCAGCAATGTCCAGTTATGTTTTTATTTTATTTATTTTTTCTTTATTGGTACATTTTAAGTTTACATAGTTACATTCATCATTGGGATCTTCTACCTTTACATGATTGATGTGTCTTGATTCTTATTTTTTCCCCATTACCCTGCCCTTCTTTCACCCCCTCCACCCTTCCCTATTTACCAAGACTTTTTTGATTCCATTTTTTTCCTTTTCTCTTATTTTTTCTTTTCCCGTTTTACCTTTCCCCATCCCTTCCAGTTATGTTTTTAAAACTTTCCTTGTAGATAATTCTTTAAGACTTTTTGTTTTGTTTTGTTTTTTTAGTACTGGGTATTGAATTTGGGACCTTGAGCTTGCAAGACAGGTGGCAGTAAATCCCTAGCTCTTTTATGAAAAGATTTTTTTTATCATGTGATAGATTAAAAGAAGAAATTGTAAACTTGATTGTAATTTTCAGTCTTACTGGGGTATTAGTGTTAACTGAGGTTTACGCAGTGTGTCTTTAATACTTTAAATTACGTGTTTTCAGATTGATAAGTGAAAGGTCAGTTGGCTGGAGTGTGGGGTGTACTGCAGGGTAACACTGAATGTGATTAAAAGAAGAAATTGTAAACTTGATTGTAATTTTCAGTCTTACTGGGGTATTAGTGTTAACAGGTTTACGCAGTGTGTCTTTAATACTTTAAATTACGTGTTTTCAGACTGATAAGTGAAAGGTCAGTTGGCTGGAGTGTGGGGTGTACTGCAGGGTAACACTGAATATGTACCTAATGTTAACTGTGGTCTTGGGGTGAGTGGTAGGGGTCAAATGGGATCATTGTACTTAAAGAAATATTCTCTTTTATGAGTTTTTCAATAGTGAACTAATGAGAAGATAGGCATCAAAAAGGAAAAGAACAAAATATCGTATTAATAGCAAACTGACTCCCTAAAGTGTACAAAGATAAAGAAAGTATACCTCAGCAGCTGTTTTTAGGCAAGCTTTTTTCAGATGAATTCGTCTATTATGGATGTTCAGATTTTAAAAATTAGTATGACTATACTAATTACTATGTAATGGTAATTAGTATTCAAGTTAATCCATAATGGATCTACTGTTTTGCTATTAAATGAAGCCTATTTTCCTTCTCTTGTAAGCTTTTTTATAGAATATAATTAAGACAGAGCTTTCTACTCGGCTCTTCAGAATTTGCAGGGTATGTTGGAATTATCTATGAGATTATTTTGAAATATTTCTCAATGGTATACATATTTATTTTTATTTCCATTTTAGAACAAAATCCAGTCTCATAGCAGAGGAGAATATAATGTTTACAGCACCTTCCAGAGCCATGAACCAGAGTTTGACTACTTGAAAAGTTTAGAAATAGAAGAAAAGATCAACAAAATTAGATGGTTACCCCAGAAAAATGCTGCTCAGTTTTTATTGTCTACCAATGGTAAGTGTAATCTCTTCATGTGCCCCGTGTGCATATTCCATAGATAATACTTCACTTTCAGGAGGAGTACTGTGCAGAGAGGTGTTTGTCAATTTTTGTTCCCTATACAAATGTAAACCTTGCTACTTTCCTTTTCTTACTGTTTACTTGCAGTTTTTAGATTCTCTTGAGAAATCTGGTAGTAGTTTTTGTTTACCCCATATAGTTGGTATTGTCAATTTTTGTTCCCTATACAAATGTAAACCTTGCTACTTTCCTTTTCTTACTGTTTACTTGCAGTTTTTAGATTCTCTTGAGAAATCTGGTAGTAGTTTTTGTTTACCCCATATCTAGTTGGTATTAAAAAGAACACCATTGGATTTAGGATGCTACTTCTCAGTTTAGAACCTGGGGCAGGTTTCTAGAATTTTCTTCTATCAGCGAGCTGGAGATAATAATGTTTATATTATGGTATTACTGTAAGTTCTGGATGTGTTCGTTCTTCTACATGAGTATGAATGTTCAATCAGTGTTTTGGTACCAGGGATCGAACTCGGGACCTTGTGCTTGCAAGGCAGGTGGCGGAACCACTGAGCTAAATGCCCGGGCCCTCAATCAATGTTAATTTCCTTTTTCTCTTCCTTTCCAAGTGCTGTCAAAGGATGGTACATCCCAGATGTTTTCTAGGAGAGAGTTCTTCTCACTTGACTTCTTCCTCATGACCAAATGGCCAGGAGATGATGACTTTTTATATACTGTACCTGCCAAGTGAAGGTTACTAAGTGAAGATTAGACTTCTCTAATGACTCTGCCTCAGTTTGAAGTTCTTTATATATGTTGAAGGATTTCTTCCTGTTCTAATATTTTTCCCCCTACATTCTTGCAATTTGTTTTATCTTTGGGGTCTTGGGTGATTGAGGGGGCTGGAGGTACTTTAGGATCCAGGTAGCCTAGTCTATAAAAATTTAGATTAAAGGGCTGGGGATTTAGCTCAGCGGTTCAGTGGCCTGCCTTGTAAGCGCAAGGACCCGAGTTCAATCCCCAGTACCAAAAAAAAAATTTTTTTTTTAGATTAAAATTTTTTGAGGGTGGCACAGGGCTAGGAGAAACCGTTCACATTTTATCAGAGGCCGATTTCCTCCAGCTGCCTGGAAAGGTGGACAGCGAACAGCAGAAGAAAAAAAAAAAGACTAGAGACTTGGATAATTCCAAAACATATGGGGGGCGAGGAAGTCAGCACTTCAGAGTGGGCAAAGACCAAGTCTCTCCATGCTAGACACTATTTAGTGGGCACCCAATAATGGGAGGGCACCTTGGTGACTGGGGGGGGTGGTAATCTTATGTCTGAGCCTGTGCTGATGCGAGCGGAAAGGAGAGCATTCCCACCTCGACAGGTGGAATGAGTGGGCTGATAAGGAACTCCCCCCCGCCCCCGCCAACCTTTCTCTTTTGTGTAACTTCTGGCTTCTCCAGGAGCCAGGCTGTCTTCAGCTGACGCTATCTTCTTGCCTTTGAGAACTCAGCTTTGACCCAGGGCAAAACAGAGTTAAGTTTCCAGGTGCCATAGTCAGCTCTCGGATCAGGCAACTTTGGGCCTTAGACAGCTATAGTCATACTTTAATTATGAAATGATTTTCCCCCAACATTTATGTAGAAATGCTTCTGACAGCATTTTATCATCCTTCTCATTTAGTAAGAAAAGCAAATTCTAGTGCTTTGATCTTCATCATTTTCAGAATGTGGGCCCTTGGCCCACTACACTGAATTCTTGGTAACACAGTCCTCAAAATATTGCCATATCTGTAACTTCCAGCATCATCAGTGGAGGAGCTGTGTTTACTATTGTCATATTTTGAGATAGTCCTAGTTCACTTTTAATTTATAAATAAGCTAAGTTATTTAAAATAGCACTCGTGCTGGGTTTGGCGGCACACACCTGTAATCCTAGTGGTCAGGAGGCTGAGCCAGGAAGTTGGCTGTGAGTTTGGGTCTAGCCTAGGTGAGTTCAAGGCCAGCCTGGACTGTACAGTGAGATCCTGCCTCAGAATCAGTCAGTCAAACAATAGCATTCAGACACTTCCATTGGATATAAAGTAACGTGAAATAATATATAATTACACTGTTTAATTTCTACTATTAGAGTAGTCCCCAGGAAATTTTGTTACATATTTCCTATATGGGACATTTTGTTCCTAATAATTAATGACTTCACTTTTTACAGGCTAAATCATTTTACTTTTCATAAAAAGAAAGTTTTAGATGTGAGCCAAAGTGGAGAGAACAGTATGATGAAGCCCCAGTGATCTGCCACTCAGGTTCCGTGGTTCTGGTTGTGGCCAGTTTGTTTCGCAGTACTTTTCTTCCCCTCCTTCATAGTGCTTTTTGGAAACAGATTTCATTTCAACTCATGTATGTATGGATTAAGTCTTAGTTATCTTTCACTTTTTCTACCCACATCCATCTTCCACAGAGGCTTTATTGTGCTGCTTTAGCAACACATAGCTGGCAGATGAGCCCTTCTTGGCCTCCAGAGGATCGGTGCAGGATGTCCAGGGGCTGGGCAGGGATGTGAAACCTGCACAGTTATCATCTGTAGACAGAACCAACCGTGTCTCTTAAATGCGTACGTGGAGCACATATATTTGAAAACTCCTTGGCCAGCATTACAAATCATTTAAAGAATACATTGTTGATTTTTGTTATTTGTTATTAATGAATTCTAATTAGAACACAAGTAACAGGAGATTGCACTATTGTAGGCTGAAAATAGTTTTAACAAGTAGGGTGCATTTTGGAAGAATAAAATAGGTATGGGCCTGGGTTGGGCAGGTATGGGCCTGGGTTGGGCAGGATGAAATGAGGAAGGGTGGGAGGAGTAGGACTTGAGCTGCATCACAGAGCTCTAGTTAAAAGGACAGAAAGGAGCTGGGCGAACTTCAAGCTCAGTCTGAGTAGTGTTTTGAGACCCTGCCCCTCAAAATAAAAAGGGCTGAAGCACTTTTTGGTAAAGCACCCTTCAATTTATTCTCTAGTACCATCAAAAAGGAAAAATAAAACAGCAATTTGGGGAAAATGTTAATATCTGTTAGATATGGGTAACTTCTTTATTTTGTATAATTTTTTTTCTGTGAAATATAACACCTCTGCAATGGGTCTTTATACTCAAAATTAGAAACTCCTACCATGGGATAACATTTGATCTAATAATTCTTTTATTCTTTTTTTTTTAAAAATCTTCTTTTGCCTTTATGTGAATGCTCATTAATTTGACATTGCAAAAATGTCTAACTAACCTGTTGACTGTGAGCTTTAAATATGTGAAAAATACAGAGTTCACTGTAAATAGCTTGTTGATAGGCAGTGTTTGAATTTCATTAATAGCTGCATTCCCTCAAAGGAAACTCGGACGCATGCTTTTCCCTGCTCTAACCCCCTGCTTGTGACAGCAGGAATACAGGGACTTTTCGACTTCTGGAACGTGTTATTAAGACCTTTAGGAAAACAAGGACAGCTCTTGAGAATCTAATAATCCTCTCCTCTCCAGATATGTGTAACATAATCCTGAATGTAGTTTTATAGAACGTGATCATTCTTGCATATCATCTCTAGATATGGCCCAAAAACTCCAGTTTTAAAAAATTTTTTGTATGTCATGTATTAATTTGTTATCTGTCCCTAGAGCCCTGTACTGAAGGCACATATTTATCCTAATACTGCTATATCCTGTGTTTTTTTAAAAAACAGTTGTAAACATCTTTTTTATTTATTTGTATTTTTTTGTACTGGGGATTGAACTCAGGACATTGTGCTTGCAAGGCAGACAGCAGAACCACTGAACCTAAATCCCCAGCCCTGTAAACACCTTAAATTAAACATTTTATTGCATCCTTTTAAAAATTTGATGTTTTAGCCGGGTGTGGTGGCGCACGCCTGTAATCCTAGCACTTGGGAGGCTGAGGCAGGAGGATCTCTGTGAGTTCGAGACCAGCCTGGGCTACATAGTGAGTTCCAGGTCAGTCTCGACTACATAGTCAGACTCTGTCTCAAAACAAAACAAAACAAAAGCAAAAAATTTGATGTTTTAAATTTTTATTTTTCTGTATGGTTGGTTTAATTTAGAAAGTTTTTATCCTATAATATAATAAAGATCGTAAACTAATTTCATCCCATCTGAAAATTTGATAATCACATTGTGATTTCTGTATTTGGTTATTTCATAAGGATTATGATTTTAGATAGGTCACAAGATGACTTTGGGGGGGAGGGGTAAGGTCATTCTCATTGTCTGCAGATGATTTCAGATACTACACTTGATCTTAGCCAAAAGGCTGAAAGGCGCTAATGATTTCAGAACAAATATTTACTTCTAAAACACACAATTTAGGCAACACTCATTTATCTGTCTAGGGTGTATAGATGTATATAAAACCAGTGCACAGGTTTTTAACTTAGGTGCAAGGGGAATATAAATAAGATTACAAGCCAGGCATGGTGGCGTACTCCTGTAATCCCAGCCCTCGGGAGGCTGAGGCAGGAGGATTGCTGTGAGTTCGAGACCAGCCTGGGCTACATAGTGAGTTCAGGGTCAGTCTCAACTACATAGTGAGACCCTGTCTCAAAAAAACAAAACAAAAAAAAAAAAGATTATATAGAGTTGAGTTACTAAAGTTAGCAGTCTTTCTGTTTATATTTCATCTTTGAGAAGAGCATCTTCAGGGTATCAAGTGTTCTAAACAAGGCAGATAGAGATTACAAGGCTAGCAAATCATTGTTTTAGAATGCTTTTATCAAATGGCTTTATACATTATTTAAAAAGTTTTGCTGCACCCATTTTGCTATGACAGATGATTAGGGATGTGATAAACTTATGTAAATTGCTGTAAGTGTGGCCTGGACTTGGTGACTTACTTAAAAACAGTAGAATGTGGCAAGGGGGGAATAAATTTATACAGTGGAGAAAACTGGCAGGCATCAACACCACCAGCCATAACACACTGATGTTGTGTATTCCCTTAAATGTTGCAGTGAGAAATCACTTCATCTTTGTATTCTCCTAGAAACCCATGATCCCAGTTTGATCATGAGAAACAGCAGGCAAACCCAACTGAGGGACATTCGACAAAGGAGCCTGACCACCGCTACTCACAACTTGTCTAGTTGTAGAAAAATGAGGGAAAGTCTAAGATATTATTTAAGTGGAAGAGGCTAGGGAGACTTGATGACTAAATACAGTGATGTTTGGATCCTGAAATCAAACAAGAATGTTGTAAAAAAAAAAAAAAAAAAAGCCTGGTAAAATCTTGAGTAAAGTCTGCAGTCTTACTAATAGTCATGCACAATGTCAATTTCTTAGTTTTGGTAAATGTGTTGTGGCCGTCTATGATGTTGGTATTTGACGAAACCGGGCAAAGGGGCACTGCTCTGTTTGCAGATTTTCTGCATATCTAAATTAAATTCCAAATTAAAGTTTATGTTTTTATTTATTTATTTATTTTGATACCGGGGATCAAACAGGTCCTTGGTTTTGCTAGGCAGACGGTGGAACCCACTGAGCTAAATCCCTGGCCCTCTATTTTTGTTTTTAAAAGATACTACTTCATACAGTTGGGCACACGTTTTTCAGTAGCCAGTTTTCTTCTGGCCCAGTTTCCTACTACTCCTCTCTGACAGAGAGGTGAGGGAGCCAGATTTAATGGAGATATCAAATGCAAAAGAGTCTGGGATCATTGATAGGAACTTCTAAAGAGTGGACCGAGGGAGCTACGTTTTGCCATTTTGATTCTAAATAATAGGCAGAATTAAGCTGTTCTTTTTACTTCATAAATGAAAAACTAAGCATATATGTATATATTTGTGTGCATAGTCACATAAATGTCTGTTTCTACACATACATACGTTCAGTTTTTCCGTATAGCTTTAGTTCGTTTTAAAGAATAGAGAGCTGTCTGTGGCTTGATTTGCATATCACATGGAATTTTATGTGAATACCATTTCATCTGTAAAATCTGTCATTTCTTTACTATATTTTTACATATTTAGTATGTGTTTTTATTAACATTTATTAGATTTTTATTAGATAAGGGATATTAAAACTTCCAGGTAAAATATGAAATGGCATATTTAAAATATCAAGTGGTTTTTCTATCAGTATTACCTTTTTAAAAAGAGCTTTCTTTATTTTCTCCCTAGATAAAACAATAAAATTATGGAAAATTAGTGAAAGGGACAAAAGACCAGAAGGGTATAACTTGAAAGAAGAGGATGGAAGGTATAGAGATCCTACTACAGTTACTACACTACGAGTAAGTACTTAAGAAAGAAAATGGTGCTCACAGATAGGATTTTATACTCATGTCATGTAGAACTTGAACAGCAGTAATTACAGTTAAGGTGCCCTACTTCCACCTCTTGCCCCCATTAACAATCCTGTAACATGTTGGTTTTCTCTCCCATTTCATCCTGGAAACTGAATCACAGTGGTCTGACTGTGACCAAAGGCAGAACCAGGACTCAAGACACAAGATTTTCGTGATATATCACTGTTCTTTGGCTTTCATGGTTGAAGTGTCATGAATTAATATCAGGGTTAATAGCTGTTAATAGAAGGTTTTTCTATACAGATCAAAAAAAATAGAACAAAAAGGGCTGGAGACATAGCTTAGTATAAAAGCCCTAGCTAGGTTCAGTGCCCAGGAAAAGGGGGGGGGGCACAAATCTTTTGGTTGTAGTTTAAAAGTACTAAGAAATAGGTGTTACAAATTAACTTCTTTTTTAGATTCATTAATTTGAACCATAAAAATGTATTAGTCTTGAACATCTTTTAAGTAAAAGATTAGAACTAAGAAGTGCAGATTCTAGTAGTATTGCTTTGGTAAAAGAAGGTAAATTGTCTAAATTACTGTTTTTTCCTTCCCATTTTAGCACTTTCTAAAGGATCAGTATCACTTGCTTTTAAAGCCTAAATCTGTATTTTTTTGTAGAGCAGTGAAGTGTTCGAGCCTTTTGTAAATTGTTTTTTGTGTCTTATTGACAGGTGCCAGTCTTCAGGCCCATGGACCTAATGGTAGAGGCCAGTCCACGAAGAATATTTGCCAATGCTCATACTTACCACATCAACTCCATTTCTATCAATAGTGATTATGAAACTTATTTATCTGCAGATGATTTGCGGATTAATCTTTGGCACCTGGAAATTACAGACAGGAGTTTTAGTATCCATTTGGTTTCCTTCCTTCCTTCCTTCCTTCCTTCCTTCCTTCCCTTTCTTTCTCCCTCCTTCCTTCCTTCCTTCTTTCCTTCTTTCCTTCTCTTCTTCCTTCCTTCCTTCCTTCCTTCCTTCCTTCCTTCCTTCCTTCCCTCCTTCCTTCCTTCCTTCTTTCCTTCTTTCCTTCTCCCCCTTTTGTGTGTGTGTTAAGGGTAAATGACATATTGCATTGATTTCAGAATTCAATCCATGGATTTATAAGGGATTTGTCTATTATATTTGTGAAAGTAGGAATTTTGGTTTTTTTAATTTCGTTTTCTGTTTTAAAAAATCAAGTTTGAGGATAATGTATTTGATTCTAATTGTAAAAGCATTTCTGTCAAGGCTGGAAAAATGAGTGCTCACAAGCTGTGGTACTTGATGGTATACAGTCAGAAGAAATTCTTCAAATCCAAATTTTATTGTTCATATTAGCCCCCTAAAATTTGTATGCATATTTAAGTATGTGATGTAAACATATATGCCGGTCCACGCTTATAGATCCATGAAGTGTAGAAATGGTATAAATACATTTATTTTATTTTTTGCTTGTTCCTGAGGCAGATCTCACTATGTAGTACTCCAAGCTGGCCTTGAACTTGCTGTGTAGTTCACACTGATAATGAACTCAAGGTGATCCTCCTGCCTCAGCCTCCTGAGTGTTGATATTACAGATGTGTGCCGCCATGCCTAGCAAATATATTTAAAGTATGTTTTTTAAATTCTTGATAAATGGTAGCAGTCATTACTACTACTGTGAGCACACTTTCTAGCTATCATTTCAAGATTCAATAAAGCTTTATCCTAATTTTATACTTTACCAACAGTATTTGAGTATGCTTTTTTCTATCTTTACCAGTCTTAGTTGAAAATGTCTTTTCTTTAGCTTTGAGTTTCTTTTATCCCAAGTAGACCTTTTTTGTGTGTGTTCATCTGCCAATTGTATTTCTTTTTACTTTTTTCCAAATTTTTACTGTTCTTTATTGATTTTTTTTTCTCAAAATACCCTTTTTCATGTTTAGTAAATTTAGCTCTTTATGCAAATAAGTGTCTCATTCTGTTGAGGTATGTTTTGAAATTCTCTTAAAATTTATGAAACAAATATTTGATATTTGTGGCTTTTGGGATTTGAATCATAATTAAACCTCTATATGTTAAAATGTGCTTTCTTAGATCTAGTTTTTGTAGCTTTAAAAATTTTGGTACTTCTGAATTTACACTCATAAAAATGGAATGCAACTTAGAAATAGTGGTTGTTTCTAAGTCTGTGAGTGAATTCTGGGTTTGAGAAATACAGAATTATATTTGCCCATTTTGAAAGTGAGATTCCTTAATAAAATGCTGCCTAGATATTGTGGATATCAAACCTGCCAACATGGAAGAGCTCACAGAAGTGATCACAGCCGCAGAATTCCATCCCAACAGCTGTAACACGTTTGTGTACAGCAGCAGTAAAGGAACCATTCGGCTGTGTGACATGAGGGCATCAGCCCTCTGCGATAGGCATTCTAAACGTAAGTCGGACTGGTGAGTGGCTTGGTGGTGCAGTGCTTGCCTAGCACACCTGAAGCCCTGGTTTCAGTCCCCTGTACCATGAATGATTGAATGTATGTCTAGTAGTAACGTAGCCTTTTGTTCTGAAACAAGCACCAGAAACATGCTCAGGGCCTCCTGTACCTTGTGGGGCTCCTATCTGTGAGGCATTCCCAGTTATGGAAGTCTATATAGCAGGGCTCCTTCGGGACTTGCTGTTAATTCCCAAGGAACACATATTTATAGTATTCCAACCTTATATTCAGGCAAAACAAGTTTTTGTCTGACTTCCTTCCTCATTCCTGTTTTCTGTTTTGTTCTTCCTAAGAAGATTTATTCATAGGTGTTTTCTTGGCTTAAAAATAAGTTTGAAAACCACTAGGTTGTGGGATGGTGGTATAGTTCAGTGATAGAGCATTTTCCAGCATGTGTGATCCCCAGAGCAATCATAAATAATGGAAAAAACTAAAGGGTTGCAGTATTATTTTTGATTTTTTGAATGTATTTGAAAATTTGGAAGTAGGTATAGACCCTTTTATCAAAATACATTTAGCTGGCCACTAGAAAAAAATCTTGCTATGAATTTGGATGGGTGAGGATGTAATATTTCCCATGGTGATGATATTAGTCAAAATCAGCCAGGGATGTTGAGAATATACCATCCTGGTGCCTGGAAGTCCAACACCCCAGCTGAGTTTAGTTCTGCTGAATTAAGCATCTGACTCTGGGAGTGTACTGTGTACTGTTTTGTCATCAACTTCAATGGCAAATCATTTTCTGAGGAACTTTTAAGAGAATTCCATTACATTCTTGTATAGCTAACAAGCTGTTTCTCAGTCCTTTATTATTAGCCTGGGACTTTACCTCACTGTCAGAAAGTTTGTGGATGGCTGTTTCAAAAAATGACTTGTCTAAACCAGACCATTGGTACACTTTGCCCTTCTGTTTCTCTCTTTTTGCTTGTTTTTAGTGTTTGAAGAACCAGAAGACCCCAGTAACCGGTCTTTTTTTTCCGAAATCATCTCCTCTATTTCTGATGTAAAATTCAGCCATAGTGGTCGCTATATGATGACTAGAGATTATTTGTCAGTCAAAATTTGGGATTTAAATATGGAAAACAGGCCTGTGGAAACATACCAGGTATTTGCAGTTCTTTCTTGAACAATCACATATAAGTGTATACTTTCAGGTGTTTAAAGAGGATTTTGTACATGGTGTTAATCTCTAATAGAGTTTGTTCATTAGGCTTTTTCCCTGAAGTCCATGAACTGTTACCTTCCCATGTGCTTAATGTCTATATACCATACTTTGTATTTTCAGTTCAATTTTGGTTTTTTGGTTTGTTTTGTTGTTGTTGCTTTGGGGTTTTTTTTGAGAAAAGATCTTGCTATTCAGTTCAAGCTGGCTTTGAAAGCATTATGGAGCCCAGGCTGGCCTCAAATTCAAGGCAATCCTCCTGCCTCAGCCTCCCAAGGGCTGGGGTTACAGGCATGTGCCACTGCACCTGGCATCAGTTTGGTTTTTTAAAGTATGATTTTGTTACCCATTTGGGTTTAGTATTAACAACTTCATGTGCTGCTGCATAGTTCATATGAGAAGGTGTGAGCACACTGCATATGAGGGTCAGGGTGGGAGGAGGACTTGGGGGAGCAGCCAGTGCTAGTTGAGGTCTCTTGGGCTGAAGAATGTGTGGTAGTAGTTGATCAAGAGCTTAAGCTTTGCCTGTGGAATCAGATGGTCTTGAATTCCATGCTTTGGCTGGAAACTGTTGCCTTAAGCTAAAGCAGGTGGTCTTGAAAGCTTACCAGGTGGCTTTAGGAGCTGCCTGTTGGCTGTAGGATGTGGATCAGCTTGAGATTCTTTGCCAACCTTTGCTCCATATCTACTACATCAGAGAGAAGAGGTTGAAATACACAACCCAGCATGGGTTTGGGGCCGGCAGAAACCGTTAAGATAGAAAACACTTAACACTGTACCTTTCTTAGTTTTCTCCTTTTGGAAACAAAAATACCTAACACCCACAAGTTAAGGGAGGAAGGGTTTATTTCAGCCCAGTTTGTAGTCCGTAGTCAGATGGCTCTGAGACACAGTGTAGCATGCAGAGGGGCATCACAAAAGAGAAAAAACATTTCATGGCTTGAAAGAGAGGCAGGAAAATCAAGCACGAGGACCCAGAAATAGCACTCCTCTCTCTTTTATCCAGGTATTCAGGATACCCACCTTTTGGGTGGTGCCACCCACACCCAGAACTATGCTAAATCAATCAGTGGACTAATTTAGTCATCACACTCCCTAGATCCAGCCACCTCCAAAAGCCCCACCTTATGACCACATGAAGCTTTGGGGTGACATTTAGACATAAGCCATAACACACTGCCTTAGGACTGTGGTTCATAAATGATACCTTCTTTATGTTACAGATCCCTAATAAAATTGAGACAAAGTTTTTAAAACTTTAATCCTATTTGGCTGACAGAAGCCACTCAATATTCTTTTTAATGGTATTAGAAATTTCAAAGTACAGTAAATACTATGTTGAAATTAAAACGAACAAATCACATACTGTTTTGTTTTAAAATATATTTTTGATAAAACTCCTAGTTACCCTTTATCTTCCCAGTCCCACTGAGAATTGCTGATTTGGTGAGAATCCCTGTACTGTGTATATTATGAAATGTTGCTGAATTTGAGTAATCTACTTGAAACGTTACTAATTTGTTTATTTTTGCTTGTGATGAATTGGATTAATGATTGACAATAGTCACATGTGTGCAAGTGTAGTTCATATAGATTTAACTATTTTTGTCGAATTTGTATGTGATTGAAAGGCATTTTTTAGTCTTTTCTGTTTTTCACGTTACTTGCAGACACATGACCTTTTAACCTCACATCAGCTGCCTTGCTCTGTATTACAGATTTTCAGTTACTGTCATGTGGACATGCTAGAATCATTGCATTGTTTAAAGTAAATGTGCACTTGAAATGATGATAGATTGTTTCCTAAAGAATTCTAATACAGAGGTTACCATTGCTTCATTTTCAGGCTCACTCTGAGTGAAAAGGGGATAGTTGATAGATGCTCCTTTTTCCCTCTCATCAAAACAGATACTTTGAAATTTTCCTGTGTACTTCAGCAATATCAATGTTGAAATGTATCATATTTCTCAGACTTTTAAAATACCAGATTTCCTTTTTAGCTTATCATTTTTGTGAATTTTATAGGGTTATAATTCAGAGTGTACACCTTTGACAGTACATAGTTATACAAAGTGATGTAGCTAAATTCCTAAAGGGCGCTTATGAGGTAACCATCAGAACTGAGCACAAACCTGAGCACTGCGCTGTGCACAGGGTACACAGAACACTTGAGTGGGGCAGACCAACCTGTGGAAAACCTGTGCCCCAGATGTGGCATCTGGAAACAGTGTTTTATCAGCAATTAACAGACTGAAAGCCAACCAATGATAATCCCTATTGCTATAATGTACTTTTGTTAGTCTCTTACCTGTCGTTCTAAAAAAATTTCTGGCCTAAATATAATGGTTGGGCTTATCTAAATACGTGTGCTGTGCCCAAAAGAGAGTTTTCCCCTGTTGGACAGTAGGGAAACGTGCTTCCCACAAGGGGGTTTAGGTGTGTAAAAGGGTAAAACACTTATAGTTGATAAGAGTATTGAAATTTAACATGATCAAAAGGTGTGTGTTGTCTGCATACATACACTTTTTTTTTTTTTTTTGGTAGCAGGGATTGAAGTCAGCAGGTGCCAGAACCGCTCTGCTAAATCCCCAGTCATAAATAATTTTTAGATGTATTATTTTCCTGATTTAAGTGATAGTTCTTGAGGTAAAAAATAATGTGTGTGTGTGTGTGTGTGTGTGTGTGTGTGTGTGTGTGTATGTATCTGTTTTTCCCCCAGGTGCATGAATACCTCAGAAGTAAACTTTGTTCGCTATATGAAAATGACTGCATATTTGACAAATTTGAATGTTGTTGGAATGGATCTGACAGGTAATTGATTTTAATTCACACTCTCGCAAATATGAATTTTATTAGGTAATAGAAACTTGTTTCATGGCTCCTGTTACAGATGCCACATTAAAAATGTGGTCAACACTGTTTGGATTTTGCAGGTCCAAAATTCATTTCCCCAAGGAGTTCAAAATAAATGCAGTGATCTTAGAGCATAGCATTACTGACAGATGTCAACTAAGCTTGGGATTAACTGGTAAATGTGACACAAGATATCTACAGCAGAAAATTGTAGTTATCTAAATTATTTAAATATCTTAAAATTTCCCCCTTTGAGGCAGATAAATGACATTTCTAGCTAGGCATATTGGCACACCTATGCATGCCTATGATCCCATCTGCTTGAGACTGAGACAGGAGGATCACTTGAGCTCAAGACTTTAAGACAGTGTAGCAAGTTTCAGTTTCCAAAACAAATTAAAAACCATGTTTCTGATGTGGCCAATGCTTAATTAAAATGATATCTTTTCACTTTGGTTGTTACTCTATTAAACTGTTCCTTAAAATATTTAGGCAACAGATTCTTTGAATTGCATGCGCCATTTTTCTCTATATATTGCATTAGTAACTCACAGAAGCAGTACTTTATATATCCTAACAATATTATCATGGGTATCCTTTTAATAATAACCAATTTGTATCAGTGTGTTCCTTTTACAGTTTCATCAAGATCAATACCATTCTTTGCCATGATAAGTAACTACTTTTAGTTGTCAATTTTTTTTTTTGTGCTTGCCATGCAGGCAGCAGCACCACTGAGCTACATCCCCAGCCCTTTTAGTTGTTAATATTACTTACTGCTTACTGTGCTCCAGCTAAAAAAGAAAACACAATTTTGAAATTATTTAAACAAGTAACTAGAGATATTTTATTCGGCAGTAATTTTATCACAAGTTGATAATATTCTAGTCTCATGATAATTAGGCATTATAGAGAATAATAGAACTGGGAATTTTTATCTTTTGTCTCGTTTTTAACTTAATCACTGGATTTTAGTAAGAGGCCCAGTAATAGGTTGGTCACCCTAAAACAGACCTATTCATAGGGGTGATCGATCACACAGTACCTTGGACAACTACTGGTAAAGAAAGCTGAGGCACTAGAAGGGAAGAAGAAAAGAGAACTGAAGAAGTGGAAGGGAAAAAGATATTGACAGAACAGGGTATATGGAACACGGCTATAGCTAGTTCTTCCTTGTGCTCTTGGAAGTTTTAAGTTATCTCCTTTAACAGTTAAACATTTTTGGAGTAACTTCAAATTTACAGGAAATTTGATAGATCTCTGTTTCCCTCATTGCTGTTTGCTCTATCATGGTCTCTTTGTTCTTACAACTTATACCTGTTGACATAAAATCCATGCACATGGACACATTCAGATTTAACAGTTGTGCATCACTTGAGAGGAAACACCAAACATGATTAGCATCACCCCTAAAATCTTTACTGTCTCCTACAACTGCAGGCATCTAAAGTAGAAACGGGTCCACTGATGCAGTGCTACTGTCTAATCCACGGACCTTAAAATTCCATCACTTTGTCTCAGTCATTTCATTTATAGCAAAGACACTTCAGGCGCAGTCCAAGATCCTCCCTAGCAGTTATGTGTCATATCTGTTTCCTTTATTCTAGAACAGTTCTTTATAATTCCCTGGACATTTAAAAAAAAAAAAAAAGACCAATTATTTTATAGAATTTTGTCCCCCTTTTTGGCACTGGGGAGTGAACTCAGGACCTTACGCTTATGAGATAGGCAAGTTGCCACTGAGCTAAATCCCTGTCCCCTAGAATATTCTTTTCTTTTGTTTTTTTTTTTTT